TCTTGCAGTCACATACAGTGTAATGTAGGAGCAGAACATGGTTTTTCTCTTCTACTTCTCTTAGAAGGCCAACACTTTACAATTCTGTGTAAGGCTAATATTCCCTAACAGACCCTGTAGTCTTTGAAGAAAGTAGACTTATTTTTATTAAAATTCTTTCTGTCTTTATGGTGAAGCCCCATATGTAACAGGCATGTAATAAACTTTTATTATAAATATGTAATATTAAAAATTATAGTTTCTGTAAAAGTAGAAAAAGCAGAGCTAGAGTTAGTATGGCAATGAAGATCTAAGAATGACTACTATAGAGTTTAAATCCCAGTAAGTTTACATAGTTGGTAGACATCTCCTTAGAGGCTAGGATAAAATGCAAATGGCACAGAACATTTCACCTGTGCTGAAATAGTTTAAAGAATTTTTGAGCAAGATTTTCATCTGAGCCGTTTTTTTTCTTTTTGTTTTAAGGAGTCTCGCTGTGTTGCCCAGCCTGGAGTTCAGTAGCTATTCACAGGCATGACCATCACACACTACAGCCTTATACTTCTGGCCTCAAGCAATCCTCCTGTGTCTGCCTCCCAAATAGCTGAGACTACAGGTGTGTGCCACTGCACTGGGCTTGAGCAGTTTTCTCTAACCCTATTCCCTGCCCTGCTTGGTACACACACACTTCTTTGGGAACCACCGTGGAAGAACCCATTGTTGCTTATGGGAATGTGTTGGGGTGGTTAAGAAAAAAAAAGTTATAAACCACTCTCCTGAAAACTCATGTGGGCAATTTTTTACAGATTGTACTGCACACAAACATTCTAATTCTTACAAGAAGTATCTCCGCAAACAATATTCCTTTTTTTTTTTTTTTTTTTTAAAAAAAAAAAAGCTCTGGGAACAAGTGGGGAGAATAATATTCTTTTCTTAAAGGCTATTTTATAATTAAGGCAGAGATTAGCAGCATCAGTAGTGATCTATAATAATGGCTGATACTTGTTGAGTGCTTACTGTTTCAAGCACTGTTCTTGAAGTTAAAATGCATTTATTTAATATCTTCATAACTCTGAGGTAGATAACAATGTTATCCCATTTTAGTTGAGGAAATAGGCACAGAGAAGTTAAGGATTTTGTGCAAGATCACACAGCTAGTAAATGATAGAGCCAAGATTTCAAGCTGGGCTGACTCTGAAACTGTAGTCTTAATTCTATGCTATCCTGCAGCTACACTCACCCAGGGAAAGTGCTTGCTTGTAACCAATACAGGAAAAGCAGATTCTGTTCCCACCACTGTCTCAGATTTATCAAGTGTATAGATAAGAGAAACCAACAGGTTGATTGCAAAGCTTACTCCTGCTCCGAAAGGCTATGAAAATGAAAACTGAGGGTTGTATTCACACAAGTAATGGTTTATGCCATTACTTTTGCACCAATAGAAAAAGGTTAATTTTCTAAGCCACATGAAGAGTCCCAAAATCAACTAGGCAAAAAATTTATTTTTATATTCAGTATTTCTAAGATTCCAGTGAAATATTTCTACCGAGATGGAAAACCTAAAATTAAAATGGGACCTCACCAAAACCTTAATATAAAATCTTGGCTGAGTATGGTGGCTCATGCCTGTAATCCCAGCACTTTAGGAGGCCAAGGTGGGAGGATTGCTTGGGAACTTGGGAGTTTAAGTCCAGCCTGGGCAACATAGGGGAAATCCCATCTCTACAAAAAATAAAAAGTCAACTGGGTGTACTGGTGTGCAACTGTATTTCCAGCTACTTGAGAGGCTGAGGTAGGAGGACTGCTTGAGCCTGGGAGGTTGAGGCTGCAGTGAGATGTGATCATGCCACTGCACCCCAACCTTGATGACAGAGAGAGAGACCCTATCACAAAAAATGTGAAAAAAAATTTAAAAATAAAATCTGAAAATCATGTTAACTGAATGATTAGAAAAATTTAACAGGCAAGTTATTGAGGCCTTACTACCATTATTCAAAGAACACAGGGCTACAAGTAATCTAATCCCGTTCACAACAATTAACTTTTTATTATAAAATTTTTTTTGAGAACAGTTAGGAATGTTTTACTCCATAATTGAAGACATATTATTTTAAAAGTAACACTTCTATTAAAGGTGCTTCTAAAAATGACTAAAATGAAACAGTAACAGTTGCACTTAACCACGTGCTAGATACTGCTCTAAGTTTATATATTTAGTCCTCAATCCTCAAAAAAAATCTAGAGAGGTAACTATTATTAACATTTACTTTTTGAGACAAAGTCTTGCTCTGTTACCCAGGTTGGAGTACAATGGTGGGATCATGGGTCGCTAGAGCCTTGACCTCCTGGGCTTAAGCGATCCTCCTACCTCAGCCTTCTGAGTAGCTGGAATAACAGGCATACACCACCACATCCACTAATTTTGTTTTCATTTTCTGTAGAGATGAGGTCTTACTATGTTGCCCAGGCTCGTCTCAAACTCCTGGACTCAAGGGATCCTCCTGACTTGGCCTCCTAAAGTGCTGGGATTACAGGTGTGAGTCACTGTCCCAGCTAAGTATTATTATATTGTTATTACCATCTACCTTGCATATGAAGAAATTGAGGTATGGAGAGATGAAGTAACTTGCCTAAAATCACATAAATGGTGGGGCTAGGATTCAAATCCAGGTATCTTGGCTGTGCTGCCACTAAGGATGAGTACCAAAATGCAAAGAAAATACTTTCCCTGTAAGACACATTTTGCTGAACAAAACCTAATGATGGCAGAAATGGAATGACTTAAAGATGGAAAACAGGAACTTCCATGCAAACATTTTTTCAGTATTTTGTTACACTATTCAAATGTTCAATACAAAATAGATTACAATTTAAAATATATTTGTACTTTAATTCCAATTTTCCTTATAGCCAAATCGGTAATATTTTATTCTTTAAATACTTTTTAAAAAAACAAGGGCTGGGCTTGGCACAGTGGCTCACGCCTGTAATCCCAGCATTTTGGGAGGCTGAGGTGGGTGGATCACTTGAGGTCAAGAGTTCGAGACCAGCCTGATCAACATGGTGAAACCCCATCTCTACTAAAAATTCAACAATTAGCTGGATGTGGTGGTGTGTGCCTGTAATCGCAGCTACTCAGGAGGCTGAGGCAGGAGAATCGCTCGAACCCAGAAGACGGAGGTTGCAGTGAGCCAAGATCATGCCACTGCACCACTCCAGTCTGGTGACAGAGCAAGACTCCGTCTCAAAAAAAAAAAAAAAAAAAAAAAAAAAAAAAAAGGAAGCAACAGGACTGACACAGAGTAAGATTTACTGATAGTGCTCAGCTGTAGTACAATAATATAATTTGCACAGATGGAAAATTAAATAATGAAAGATAACATTTGTTTCTAATGCACAAGTAAAATAAAATTCAGCATCATTTACTCAAATGGAAAGAAAAATCTGTTTGATGCTTAACTTTTGTGTTGGAACCAAAATTGTCCCAGCATGTTCCTTCTGATGAGTACGTATCAAACTTTCAGATGGCTGTGCAGATGAGCTGTAATCATTAGCGCCACTCCGTCAGAGTGCCTCCCCTTCCCTCAGATGCTCACGTGTAGCATAAACAGAGCTCTGTTAGGTGGTGGGACTGTGGTTCTGCTGTGTGGAAAATCGAATGGTTGCCATCGTCCTCCACATTTCATGTACACACTGTCACACTGCCTAAAGTAACCTGACATTCTACTGCTTTCCTCTTCACTGCAAAGACATGGATTTGGTCCATATTTTAAGGATGCAACCTTGCAAAAAGGTCAAGCAGAAAGTTTCTAAAACAGTTCACTGCCCAATGATAAGTATTCAAATGGCCAAAGATATTTGTATTTTTTCAGTAGCTAGAAAGACAACTGTGAAAAAATACAAAGCAAAAATTTCCAGAGAAATGTGATTTTTAGCTCAAACAAAAGCACATATAATTCTACCTGTTACCTTTTTAAACATTCTTTTATGTATCCACATCCCTTAGATTGAAAAATTCAGAATGGCAAACTGAATCTGCAGATGTGAATAGTTAAGATTCTAAGGTTTTTTGCTTAAATTCCTATCAGTAGCCTGTACTACAGAATTCAAAATGAACTTGTGGTCCATTGTTTGCCACTAAATAATCTCCCCTCAGTGTGAATAAGTTTGATAAAATTTAGTATTTTCTTGTACTTTCTTGAGAAAATAAACTTCAAATTTTATTATTGTCTAATGAAAGTAAATGAATATGAATATTTTCAAATTAAATGAAAGTATTTCCTTGACAAATTAGTTTATTAAGTTTAAGGTTACACAAAACATTATAATGACAATTCAAATAAGGTAAACAGAATAAACCATTTATTAAAACATTGTGTGATAAACTTTTTGATCCAATGCAACACTGGTAAACATTTTCCCTCATTACCATGTTACCTAAAACACAGCTAAATTACATCATCTGGGCCAGGCATGGTGGCTGTGTAATCCCAGCACTTTGGGAGGCCAAGGTCGGGGGATCGTCTGAGGTCAAGAGTTCAAGACTAGCCTGGCCAACATGGGGAAACCCCATCTCTACTAAAAATACAAAAATTAGCCAGGAGTGGTGGCACTTGCCTGTAATCCCAGCTACTAAGGAGGCTGAGGCAGGAGAATCACTTGAACCCGGGAGGCAGAGGTTGCAGTGATCCGGCACTGTGCCACTGCACTCCAGCCTGGGTGACAGACACTTCACCTAAAAAACAAACAAAAAAATTACATCATCTGACCAGAACTAGAAAATACTTCTGTCCTTACCACTCATGACTGAACAGCAAGGCGAGTGCAGATCTACATTTTCCTGATGAATCAATGATAGAGAATAATAACTTAAAAGACAATCGAAATTCCATATGCCCAAAAGATAAATTTTATTTATCCTGTTCACTGGCCCTAACTTAAAATCCTCATATCACATCAAGATTTCACGGACCGCTCTCTATCACTGCCAAAAATACATATTAGGAACAAATTAATAGAAGTTGGGTTTTAAACTGCACTTTATTTGTTACTGTAACATTCTTTTTTAACCAATCAACCATAAGCATGCGAAGTTTTCTGAATGAAACTGCTTCCACAGCCAGTTGTATAGAAATGGGTAAATTATAAAGGTGATTCAATCTTAAGCTCTCTCCTTTTTTATAGCACTTCTAAGCTGTGTGTATGACACACGCCACGGAGGTAGGAAGGACCATCTTTAATAAATTATCTTCTTAATTGCAGAGAATTTCTGAAAATAAAACTGACAAAATGCTAAACCAAGCCTTTGATGAGTCCCAAAGGACCACACATCCATCGACTCCTATTTGAAGAATTAATCCCCTGGAGTGTTCTAGCCTTTGTAGGGCATGTGATAACAAGATCCACCAGGGCTCTGAACAACTGCACTAAGAAGTCTTCTAACCACTTCATTTGCCAATTCTTTGAACCACCCAGTCCTGCTGGCAGAGAGGGCAGCGATTGTTCTGTTTCACCCATAGGGACATGCAGCAGTTGTGGAAGGAATGATTACATTCTCCCCAGACCACTGAAAAAAAGAAAAAGAAGAGCTAACATTACATATTTCAATTTAAAAACTGAACTCAAAATTATAGCTTATTTTGTATTACAAATAATCATCTTGAAAAAAGACAGTTAATTGGCCAAAATGATGCTTTTTTATCTATAAAGAAACAGAAACGTAAATGTGTAAGTTACACAGAGACATAAGGTAAGTCACTGTTCTAAAGCCTTTCCATCCCTGTTCTAGAATCTATGGGTGACGTGATGACCCCTAGTTCTACACAGCTCCACATGCTGTCTTCATGAAGTTAGGAGATGAAAGAACTTGAACTTTCCTTAGATCTGACCTTCTCAGTCATGCACTGATATTAGAGATCTTCTGGGCTTTATTTCACGGAAAAAAATCGTCTTCCAATTTTTATTTACTGAGATAGAATGAGTTGTAAATGTTTTTAGTATGCAGTAGGCTATCATCAATGACATGCTCCTAAGCATTCAGTTGTGCATCTACTGAGCTGAGCTGTTTTCTAGAAGTGATGAATTGTGTTAAGTCACCCACAACCAGTGCAATTCATGTGATGATGAAATTTTCAAAGTGGCTGGCTTGAGAGAGAGGTTTCTCTGTGATCAAACAAAGTGCCCCTCACAATTCCCAAGATAATACTTTTAAACAAGAAGCATGAAAGAAAAACTTTAAAACAAGGGAAATCATCCACAATCTGAAACGCAATCTCAAATTTGGGATTCATCTGTCCCTTGCTTGACCAACTGAGCTTATGACGAGAAAAAGATTAAATGAAATGGGAGGAAAAAAAAAAATCCTATGAAAACTGGCTACAGAGGGTAGGAAACAAGGGTGAAACAGTCTAAGTGTTTCAGGAGGAAAAACTGGATCAAAACTGCATGAATCAATATTAAGGAGTTCTATGTGCTCTATGCACACCAGGCAAACACAAAATACAAAGCTAATCTTTTATTCTAAGAAAATCTGTAAACACGTTTAGATAGCAATCTAGACATAATCACCTCAAGAACTAGGGCACAAAAATCTTTCAACTGCCTGAAATATTTAGCCTAAGACAACTTTTGTAGTGTAAGACTAAAGAAAATTTGATATGCAACCCGCATTCCAAAAAAATCTTGAGACTCAGAATTTTTTCTACTTTGGTTTTAAAGTTAAAATACTAGGCCGGGCGCGGTGGCTCAAGCCTGTAATCCCAGCACTTTGGGAGGCCGAGGCGGGTGGATCACGAGGTCGAGAGATCGAGACCATCCTGGTCAACATGGTGAAACCCCGTCTCTACTAAAAATACAAAACATTAGCTGGGCATGGTGGCACGTGCCTGTAATCCCAGCTACTCAGGAGGCTGAGGCAGGAGAATTGCTTGAACCCAGGAGGCGGAGGTTGCGGTGAGCCGAGATCGTGCCATTGCACTCCAGCCTGGGTAACAAGAGCGAAACTCCGTCTCAAAAAAAAAAAAAAAAAAAAAAAAAAAAAAAAAAAAAAAGTTAAAATACTGTATATAAAAGTGAAATGCCTTATTAGAACCAAAAGTGACCTATAACAGAGCCAAAATTCAAATAATGTTTTGACCAATTTCTGGTTTTATAATTTTCTTAATAGAAAATAATTATTTCATTTTTGATTACCAAAATGTTTATTATGGCATCTGGAATATATAATCAATTCTTAATTATAGCAATAAAAGGATTTGCAGGGTCATTCCATTAAAGTCTTTTGAGAACCATCACATTTCATATTAATAATGGATCACGGCTTTACAGTTTATTTTTGTGTATTGATAAAGTCAATCTTAATTGCAAATTCAAACATCCCTACTGAGAAAACCTTCAGTTGAAAAAGCAGGAGAATGAAATTACAACATACCAACACAGTCCTCTTGTTTGTTTTCAGCTTGACATCTAAGACAGGCATCTAAAAGTAAACAAATAGCAATTCTCATTCTGATGCTCAGAATGCAATTTTTAAAAACCAGACACTTCAAAGTCAAATAAAAGCCCTAAGGGTTAGAGATGGCGTTAAAGACTCATACTATTAATTTCTCATCTGAATGTAACTATTTAAAGAGGAATAACGTACAAGGCATTCTACTAATTTACTATAACCGGGAGCAAATTCACAAGGGTTAACAAACCCTCTATTTTTATAAGCTCTGATGAAAAGATGTCCTGACACTGCCAATAGAGAAAACTACCAGAGAAAAATATGCCACACTCTACTATATTCCAAGTTACTATACGCTTACTGGACATACTCATGGGCAGTTTATTTTCAAGACACCATTTAAATAAACCATGTATATATGTTAGCATTTGCTTATACATACATCAAGAAACGCTAGGATACCCAGGGAACCAACAATAAAGTTTAGTGGGAGGGTTTGGAATGGGAAGGAGAGTTTTCACTCTTCCAGGTAAACACATACCTTCCTCAATTTCTGACCTATGTAAATTTATCTCATATAAAAATTAAATGGAAAAAAATTAATTCTTTCATAAACAAGTTTTTTTGTTTTTTTTTTTTTTAAAAGAGACAGGTTCCAGGTTCCACCATAATCACCATATTCATCAGGCTGGTCTTGAAGTCTTGAACTCCTGACCTCAGGTGATCTACCTGCCTGGGCCTCCCAAAGTGCTTGGATTACAAGCATGAGCCACCGAGCCCGGCCATAAACAAAATTTTTAAAGTCATCCATACTTACTGACACATAAGTTTGCCTTCAGCAACTCATAAAAAGTAACTTTTTACTCTCTGCCCTAAGACACTTGAGAGTTCCTTTAAAATGAACTGCTTTGTATGCTTCCAACAGGTTGCTACTGATGGTCAACCAGACAAGGCTGGCAAGCAGGCAGTGAGACACAGAGGGGAAAGGAAGGGCTGCGGAGCCAGGAGAGCTACAGTTAAATCCCACTTCACTGGCATTTACTAGGTTCATGGCCTTGGACCAATTACAAACTCCAATTCCCTCATCTGCAAAAAAGGGACAATACTGTGAGGTATTTATATATAAAGTAGGGAAGATACATACTGGTGAGAATTTTATAGATAAAATAAGTAAATACTAGATACCCCTAAATACCAAGTGTTTTTTCTTTGTAAGAAAATGCTTGGGAGCTAAATGATGAGAACACATGGACACACAGCACGGAACAACACACACTGGGGCCTTTCTGAGTGTGGAGAGGATCAGGAGAAATAACTAATGGGTACTAAGCTTAATACCTGGGTGATGAAATAAGCTATAAAACAAACCTCTGTGACACAAGTTTACCTATGTAACAAACCTACACTTGTACCCCTGAACCTAAAAGTCTTTTTTTTTAAAAAAAGGAAGGAAGAAAGAAAGAAAGAAAGAAAGAAAGAAAAAATTCCTCCTTTACAGGTTAAGTCTGAGTCCAAGGCATTTACCCAACAATGGTAAAGTATTTTAATAAATTACTTTATTATTGGTTTCTTGGGTGTCCTTCTAGAGTTTCTTGATGTATACATGAACAAATATTAACATATATGCATGGCTTATTTAAAAAGATGTCTTGAAAATAAACTGCCCATGAGCATGCCCAGTGAGCTTACAGTAACTTCTAATATAGTGGAGTAGGTGTAAATACTAAAAATGAGATCCTAAAGGCTGTACTAGAAAGTTTTCAAAATTCAATCTGGAATACTATTATCAGCTTAATGAAAAAAGTAATACAGAATATTTTAGGGACCAAAAATGGACCCATTCACAAGCTAGAAGAGGAGTCAGTGCTGGGTAAAAGGAAGTTCGAACCAACAGAAACGTTTTTAACATAAATAGGAGAAAAATCATTCTGTAAAAATAGAAACACGGTGGAGTTGAAGCCTGCTTCTCTTCTTACGCTGGATTCTGCTCAGGCATTTGTTTGCTCCTCTCCACAGGCTCTTACCCTTAAAAAAACACCACCGCCCTGGTCTCTTCAGTGTGGATTAAAAACAACCACTGCCTCCTGAGGTTTTCTTCAATCCCACAATTACTATCTACTCTGTGCAAGGAGTTATGCACTGGGGACACCAAAATGACCAAGGCTGGGTTTCCAGGGGCTCACCAGCAAATGGGGACGTAGACAAAAAACCAAATATCATGAGGGTTGTGACATAACGGTGAAGACATGCTACCTGTATCTGGCTCTAGTTCTGTGCAATCACAGTTTTAATATTAAGGTTGGTGATCTCAACTACCTCTTTACGAATCAGGAAAATAAGCTTCCAAAAAGTTACATGAAATATCCAAGGTGATAGAGTCATGAAAGATTACTCTGGCTATTACAACTGGCTGTGCTAGCAAACCTATTCCCCTCTTCATCAGAACTTGCTCACTGTGCAATCATCACTCCTTTACGAATGAAGGGAGGAGAGTGGAAACCAAGATGAGAGTGTCATCCACATCAGAATTGGGCTGACAGGCAAATCTCTGGAGCAGAAAGTGTAATAAATCACAAGTGGATAAATTCAAATATTAAGGAAAGCGAATTAAGTGGGTTCTTGTTGCTGAATCTAGAATTCTCTAATTTATGCTTATGGCTTTGATGCAGACTATCAAAATTGACCAAATCTACACAAATTCCTAAAGTTTCAGATAAAAGAAAAAAATGCCTTAATGATCTTCCTAGTATCTAAAACAGCACATTTCTTTTTTTGTTTTTGCAGACGAAGTTTTGCTCTTGTTGCCCAGGCTGAAGCGCATTGGCGTGATCTCGGCTCACAGCAACCTCTGCCTCCTGGGTTCAAGCGATTCTCCTGACTTAGCCTTCTGAGTAGCTGGGATTACAGGTATGCACCACCATGCCTGGCTAATTTTATATTTTTAGTAGAGACGGGGTTTCTCCATGTTGGTCAGGCTTGTCTCAAACTCCTGACCTTGTGATCCACCACACCCAGCCAAAACAGCACATTTCTAAGGAGTACAGTAACAGTAATAGTAACACCTTTTAGAATGATGCTAGGGTAAGTACTAGGAAGTCTGGAAGAAAAATTTCCTTCTGCTGTCACCTGACCTCTAAGTGGGTTTAAACACCTCATAAACAAAATACAAAGGTGTAGTCTAGAATACTTTCCTGAACCCAAAGTACAGCTGTTGTAAATATGCAACACTGATCCTGTGGTAGCAGAACACTTCCCATAATTAGAACATTTATGATGAAATGTGTCATTTATAGCCTATACTTTGACCTACTTTAAATATCTCAGTAAAGTTTATTTGTTGCAAAGTTTCAATCATTATTTCAGGTTACACATTTACACTCACTCTTCACATGTTTTTCCTTGGGGGAGGAAATAGCTTTTTGAGAGAGAAATCTTTTAAAAATACCCTTTGAGAACATTATTTTTAAATTGAAAAGGAACTAAGTGAAAGTTTAGTTTCCTTTAAACTAAAGGAAATGTATTTAGGAGATAAAATTTTTAGCAAGAGTCTCCTGGATCAGCTAAAAATGCTTCCCAAACTGGAAATTATTCCTAACGGGGGCTGGGAGCGGCTATACTGCTGGCAAATAAACCAGATACCTTTAAAACCTAATGTGTTTTGTTTGCTTTTGAGAAAGGATCTCATTCTGTCACCTAGGCTGGAGTACAGTAGCAGTGTCAGGAACAAGGCTCACTGTAGCCTCAACCTCCTGGGCTCAAGGGATCCTCCCACCTCAGCCTCCAGAGTAGCTGGAGGCCACCATGCCTGGTCAATTTTTTAATTTTAATTTTTAACTGTAGAGACAGGATCTTGCGATGTTGCCTAGGCTGGTCTCAAACTCCTGGGCTCAAGTGATACATGTAAAATAAGTGGGTCATGTCTAATATCAAGGTATTTCAAAAGTGAAAGATAAAAATGTCTGAATAAAATTGTTGTAAATCCTCTTTGAAACAAGCCCTTATGAATAAAAGACAGAAGAGCACATACTGAGAAACCTCTTGATTCTGGTAGGTTTAAAGTCTCATCCCCCTTAAGGAGAGCAATTCTCTTTATGTTCTCCAAATCTCTCACTCTTCAGGACAAGTCAGTTTTCAAACTATAGAAATGCCAGTTTTCTCTATCCTCAATAAAGAACTCCACTGAAGATGCTCTCAAAGTGATTTTAAATGCCCTATCTAAAAACACAACTTGCATTTAAATAGCACTTGCTTTTCAAAGTGGTCTAAGACCTTAGAACCATATAATACATGAGATTAAGCTGTTCTGAAACGTTTCGCTTGGTCCAATATCTTAACTCAAAAAAAATCACAGAAAGAATATTTATTTGTAAGAAGGTTCTCCACAAAGGCATGATTAAAGCAGGGCAGTATCTTCCCCAGGAAATGGCATCTGATGAAGGAGAGGGGGTTGTGATGGAGGTGAAGTTTTGTTTCTGAATAAAGGGCTTACATTCCTCAGCTCCCATGAAACTTAATCTTGAACCATACTTTCCCCTTCAAGCCACACTAGTGCTATCTGACCCGTCTTAGATCAATCCAGATTTAAAAGCCATTCGAAGAGCGGCGGTAAATTAATCCGGAAATGCAAAGGCTGAGAAACACTTCCCTGAGCCTCTCCAGGAGAACTAAGGGTGTCGTTTTGCGGAAGATGACTCCGGAGCATCACTTTGGTGGTGACCAAGACCATTAAAGTTCACTGCTGAATCACGGCCTAATTTACCCTGACCACTTCGCGACGAGCTTTTAGAGCAGGGGCTGGGGCTGGCCACATAAACCGAGGCGTTTCCTGCTGATTTCCTACAATCACCCGGTTTTATTCTCTTGGACACACCCATAACTACCTGAAATTACCTTGTTCACCGTTCACCTCCGTTTATTGCCCGTCTCTCTCCCTAGAACGCCGGGCGCCTGTTGCACGACCCCGCCGCCCCAGGCGGCGGCCGCAGCCCGCAGGAGCCGCAGCCTGAGCGTGGCTCCACGTTCCCCCAACGCCCGGGCAGGGCGACCTTCCCCCACTCCCCGCGGCAGGGGACTTTCCGAGGCTTCCGGCGGGCGCCCGTCCCTTCCCATCCCCAGAGTCGGCTCCCAGAGGCCGCAGCGCGGCCCGGGCCTCGCGTGCAGCGCTTACCCATCACCTGGACCCTGCAGATGGCGCACGTATCGCACTCCACGTCCCAGCTCCACATGGCCACCGCGTTCCACTTCTTGAGGGAGAACATCTTGTCGCCTCCCGACTTGGAGCCTGCGCTCCCGGTGTGAGAGGCCAGGGCACAGGGTTCCTCGCCGTCTTCCACATCGGCCATGGCGGCGCCGCGGAGCGGACGGCGGAGACGTTGGGTTGGGGAACGCGGGAGGCTATGGCGGCTCTGAGGGGCCGCCCGGCGGGCCACAGCGCCCCCAGCAGGCCGCCGGCCACCGTGACGCCTAGACCCAGGCCGCCCGCGATTGGCTGGCGCGGCTCAGTGACGTCACCTGACGCCAGCGCCGAGGGGCGGGCAGGCCCCCCCTGCCCCCCGCCCCCGCCGTCCTGGGGCAACGAAAAGGGCTGGGGCCTTTCGGGGAGACCCAGCTGAATCTGGCTGCTGAGCTACGGGGTGTTACCGACATCTGAGCAGGCGCACAGATTGTGCAGGAATATGTGTCCTGCCTTTCGGCTTCATTAAACCTACTGCTTTCAGAAATTATCTTAATTTACTCGTTTGCCTCTTCCCTCCCACATGTAAAACTGTCAGAGCAGGGAACATGTTCTTATCACCACATTACCCTCGGTATCTACAAAATGCCTGGCCATGGGAGGCACAATTATTTGTTGAGGGAATTAATGATCTTAAAGATCTAGAAATATGTTTCAGTGGTTCTCAAACTTTTTGATCTCAGGACTCCTTTTCACTTAAAAATTACTAGGACCTAGGCCAGGAGTGGCGGCTCACACCTGTAATCCCAGCACTTCGGGAGGCTGAGGCGGGCGGATCACCTGAGGTTGGGAGTTTTGAGACCAGCTTGGTGAAAACCCATCTCTACTAAAAAATACAAAAATTAGCCGGGCATGGTGGCACACGCCTGTAAGTCCCAGTTACTCGGGAGGCTGAGGCAGGAGAATTGCTGGAACCCGGGAAGTGGAGGTTGCAGTGAGCTGAGATTGCGCTACTGCACTCCAGCCTGGTGACAGAGTGAGACTCCATCCCAAAAAAGAAAAATTATTAGGACCTTAAAGAGCTTTTATTTAAGTAGGAAAAGTATGAATATAATATATATAGTATGAATATATATTATACACATAGTATGAATATAATATGTATTATAACACCATACATTTCCTATATATATATGCACATATATAATATGTATAGTATGAATATATATAGTATGAATATAACATATATATTCATACATTTCCTACATAAATAAAGGCTTTTTAAGGTCCTAATAATTTTTAAGTGAAAAGGAGTCCTGAGACTAAGTTTGAGAACCACTGAACCAGATTTCTAGATCTTTAAGATCATGAATTCACTCAACAAATAATTGTGCCTCCTGTGGCCAGGCATTTTGTAGATACCGAGGGTAACTGGTGATACGAAGATGTTTTTATCAGCATATATTTCCTATGTATGTATACACACACGCATATATAGAGAGAAATTAATGTTTGCTTTTTAAGAAATTAAAACAAATATTTTAAAATGTATTCATTAAAAATCACAATAGTAACCTCACTTCAGGTTATCATTAGAGGGATGACTTCACATACCATGTAGTTCCTAGAAACTTCAGTGTATACTCATAGAATGAGAGTGAAAAGAGGGAAGTAGCTCTAAATATTGTTAGGCAACTAGTTTGCCCCCTTTTGACCCCTACAAGAGGTCAGGATGACAGGAGCCCTGGGGACCACACTTTGAGCTAGGCTCTTTGTTTTATATATAAGACTAATGAGGTCCCAAGAAGCGAAGTAACAAAGATCACCTCGCTATTACAGTAGTGCTTCTACTGCTAGCCCACCATCACATGTGTTTCCAAGAAAGCAGACATCTCCATTCAAAAGAAAGTGGAAGTAGGCCAGGCGTGGTGGCTTATGCCTGTAATCTCAACACTTTGGGAGACTGAGGTGGGCAGATCACAAAGTGAAGAGATGGAGACCATCCCAGCCAACATGGTGAAACTTCGCCTCTACTAAAAATGCAAAAACTAGCTGGATGTGGTGGTGCACGCCTGTAGTCCCAGCTACTCGGGAGGCTGAGATAGGAGAATCTCTTGAAGCCAGGAGGCGGAGGCTGCAGTGAACGCAGATTGTGCCACTGCACCCCCACCTGGGGACAGAGCACTGACAGCCTAAGGAGATGCCTGACCCCACCATCACCTAGTGGTGGACATCAAGGATGCTGAGCCTCTCACCATCCTCCCGTCTCCTGATACCATGCCTTGTGCCTGGGCAAAAGCTAACCAGACTAATGGAGCCTGGCAGGGGAAACAAGAATGCGTTAATATAAGAAACATAAATATGGACGCAGGGTCACATTTGGTTAGATGCAACCGTGTATTTGTTGAGTGGTGTGTTACGGGCTGTGAGGGTATAGAATGCAGCAAGGGAAATCCTCATGGGAGAGGTGAAGTTTGAACTGGGGGAACATGGGAGGCCTTCAGGGCTAGGAACAGAGTGGAGAGAGTAAATCTCTCTGCAGAGCACAATGGTGGTGGCAGATAGGACTTGGACCACACCAACTTTATAAGCCAGACAGACACCCATCGGAGTGAGCACACAAAACATGTGTTCTCTTCTCACTGAATGACCCCCACATCTGCCTAGAGATGGCTGTAAACGCTAAGTATCTAACAAAGAAGGAAGGCTGGTGCCAGAGGAGGGTAAAATAAACCCAGCGGGTGAGAAGTTTCAAAGACTAAGGAGGGAAACGCAGATGAAAGGCTGAAAGGGAGAAGGATGGTTTCGCTTGAGGAATGGTACCGGCCTTTGCTGAGGCAAGAACTCTGGAGAGAGATGTCTGCTGTAGTGAAATTTGAGAACAGAAGCCAGGAGGGAGCAGAGGGGTGGGAGGTGGGAAGGCGGGTCGGGGAGACGAGTACGGTTTTGACACACTGCATGGCAGGAGAACTTTTTCTCCCAAGAAAAAGAACAGGAACAAGTGATGCACCAGAGTTCAATGCAACAGGGAAAGCGGGAGCGAGGCAGAAAGTTCAGGCTGCAGCGGCTGTCCAGGCATGGTGGGGCCGACGGGAGGGTCCCTTGTGACTTCTCTCCTTTGGTTTACCTTCATGAGGGCTTGTCTGCCATCATAAGCACCCAAAAGGCAGGAACAATCGGCAGCCTTGAATGCAGCCAAACAGATCTGTCCTCCTCACGGCCTGCTCAGCGTCCGCTCCGCCAGTTGTTCCTCTGGCCAGTCCCCCGCGTGTCACACAACCCATGCTTATTTGTCAGGCAGGCCCTGCTTCCTCAGCTGCAGTCTCCCTCCTCCGCTCGGTATGTTGAAGACGTAGTTGCTTTCATTTTGAGGACTTCTCTGAAGCAAAATATTTAAGGACTAATAAATATTTAGGAAAAACTTGTCTCAGTGCAAGTGGGCATTTTGTTACTTGTTTGTCCTCATGCCAACCATCACTTCCCCCTTCTGTGCCATTCACCTTTAACAGAAGAAGTTTTCCTGTTGTCAGGGAGGTACAACTTTTCCTCTACCCTCTTAGGCTCAGTATTTGGGGGATCGCAAATTAAACCAACAAAACACAGATTAGCAGGAGAAAATGTAGATATTTTCTTTATTCTTTTTTTTTTTTTTTTTTTTTTTTTTTTTTGAGAGGGAGTCTTATTCTCGTTGCCCAGGCTGGAGTGCAGTGGTGTGATCTTGGCTCACCGCAACCTCCACCTCCCAGATTCAAGTGATTCTCCTGCCTCAGCCTCATAAGTAGCTGGAATTACAGGCATGTACCACCATGCCCGGCTAATTTTTTTGTATTTTTAATGGAGACGGGGTTTCTCCATGTTGGTCTGGCTGGTCTTGAACTCCCCACCTCAGATGATCCCCCCCGCCTTGGCCTCCCAAAGTGCTGGGATTACAGGCATGAGCCACTGGGCCTGGCCTGAAAAGGTAGATTTTTATTCACTGAAGTAGTCAGAGTTCACAAAAAAATATCACTCAAGGAGCAATTAGAATTTGGGGCTTATGGCTGGGTGCAGTGGCTCACACCTGTAATCCCAACACTTTGGGAGGCTGAGGCAGGAGCATCACCTGAGGTCAGGAGTTCAAGAGCAGCCTGGCCAACATGGCAAAACCCTGTTTCTACTAATAATACAAAAAATTAGCTGGGTGTGGTGGCATACACCTGTAATCCCAGCTACCTGGGAGGCTGAGGTAGGAGAGTCACTGGAACCTGGGGAGGAGAGGCTGCAGTGAGCTGAGATTGTGCCACTGCACTCCAGCCTGGGCGGCAGAGCAAGACTCCATCTCAAAAAAAAAAAAAAAAAAAAAAGAATTTGGGGCTTATATACTATCTAAATAAGGGGAAGGGAGAAGGAGAAAGGGCACTTCTGGGAAATAACTTTTAGAAAACATAAACAGGCCTTTGGGAGAATAGATGGGAGATACGACAGTGTTGCACAAGGTCTATTAGGTGATTTATTATCCCAGTACCAACTTCTTGTTTCTGATGACAGCAGTCAATCTTCTCTGGTTTGGAAATTCCTGGGAAGGAATTTAAGACAGTTGAATTCTTTTGAGAGGCATTGCTTTTAGGCAGGGAAGTTCAGAAAAAAAAAACTAAAATAAAACCAAACAACTTTTCCTGAATCCCTTGATTCTCAAATGCCTTTAGCTCAAAATAATCCTTACGCTACAGTGGGATATTCTGGACTTCTTTCCTGGACTAGGGAAAGAAATAAAAACAAACAACAAATCTGATGACATTTGCTTGTTGAGCTGAAGTAGTTTCCCCAAAGGGACCAACGTTTGGAACTATAATGACAAAGCAAGAAAATTGTTCCTAGAGGTTAGAGATCAAAGCTAGGCCAAAATGAAACGGCTAGCTTCTCCTGGGAATGTCCTTCTAAGCAAGTCTGCTCTCCATTACACTTGTCAGACAAGAGCCGTGGCTCATCTTTTTTTCTTGGAAATCATTGTGTTCATGTCCATAGGTCCCTGAGCATTTGCTGGTCTTCTCTGGTCAGATGGAACCCTTCAGTTCATTTGCCTCTCTTGGTCATAGAGGAAGGTGCTATGGCCGGAAATCATTAGTCACAACCACGATTCTACTTTGTGTCTCTGATTTTGACCATTGTAAGTATCTCGTATAAGTGGAGGCATGCAGTATTTGTTTTTTTGTGACTGGCTTATTCACTTACATAATATCCTCAAAGGTTTATCCATGTTGTAGCATGTGTCCGAATTTCTTTCCTTTTTAAGGTTGAATAGTA